AAACTCAAACAAACTCAACAGCATCAGAGCATCATGAGCAGACCTGTCTAAACATTCACAGCACTCTGTTAAGCAGAATACCTCACTGAATTTACCTGACAGCCTCTCTGGTAAGCAGAGAAACACAACTATACTATTCTAACTATGCAAATCCTAGCACCTGACTAGAAGGATGCTGCATATAGAATTGATGTTGATATTTGCATGTGTGAGCATAAATGTCACCTTGATGTACATTGTAATTGTTATATGAAAAGTGTTTATTGTTTTAATATATTTCCATATTACTGATGACCCACAAGGAATTCAAGCAAGGGCAATAATGGATTTTATTTTTTTACCATGAGAAAAATTCCTGGAATTGAAGGAGTATTTTGATCTTCAGAGTATCTACAGCATTATTATCATAGCATGGTCATTCCAGTATTGTACATCTTTCCCCGTTTCTGATTTTAGAGGTGTGAAGCTGCTGGTAAAGAAAAAGAGAAAATTTCTAGCAAAGATACATTAAATACACCTTGATCAGCATTAAATTCATGACATGAATTAATATGGTCAAATCTCAAACTGGCAGAATAATTTGCTCATCTCTATCTATGGATTGAAACTGTGTTCACTGTTGCAACATTCCATTTAGAAGCTACCAAATACAGAAGTAGAGATAGGGGCAAGCACAGTGAAGGGGGCTTTTTACTGTGAGTCTTCACTAAATGCCTCCTCTACCCAAAACTGATCTGTTCAACCAATGTGGATGCTGGCTGTTTCAATATCTTATATCTGTCAGGTACTTGGGAGACATGCTATGTCTCTTCCAGGTTCTTTGCAATGCCAAATAATGGTGCCACTGTCCTCAAACAGTAGAATTACCAAAAGATTCAAGATTCCAACTGCAAGAGAGTGTAACCTGCATTATGGCCTTGTGGTAAGGACAGAGATGTAGGCTTCTGTGAAAAAAGTCTTGGCGCATGGTTCTTCTGATAGATGCCTGCAGGTTATTCAGCCCACCAAAATAGAAAAATCAGCTTTGGTTAGCATTAGCCTTTTAATAAACCAGAAATAAATGCAAAATAAATTAAGGGGTATTTATCAGGACTGGAGCAGATGGAATCTATAACAACTGATTATGGTCAGCTTCTATCTTCAGATTGTTCAGTTAAGCTTTGAAAATGAAGATAGAACCTGATTGGTTGGCTGCTCCAGTTTTATTTATTTTAGGTATTTATATAGTGCTGTCAATTTACTCAGCGCTTTACATCTCTATTTAAAATTCATATCAGTCCCTATCCTCAAGGAGCTTACAATCTAAGATCTCTAACTCACATTCATACATACACATACTAGGGCCAATATAGACAGCAGCCAATTAACCTACCAGCATTTCTTTGGAGTGTTGGAGGAAACCGGAGTATGCAGAGGAGTAACCCATGCAGGTACAGGGAGAACATGCAAACTCCATGCAGGTAGTGCTGTGGTTGGAATTCAGTATTATAATATTTATAATTTGATACATTTTTCTTCTTGTTTATAATGTATATTATATTTTAGTGTTTGTAATTCCAATTTTACTGTCACGAATGCAGAGAAAATTAAGTGAAAACATAACATCAAGGCATATTTTTAGAAAGGGTAATGCTTAATCAAAGCCTGGAATGCGCACAGATCTTGGACCAAATAAAACATATTCTGCAATCACGAAATGGCATCATCTGTGCCCAAACAGGGGCAGTCATTTATTAGTCACCACAGGCAAAGAAAGAATATAAACAGTCAAATGCAATCCCAGCATTTCAATGCGTGCTATTAAATATGAACAGCTGCATGAGAGCCCACAAAATCCATGAGCCATGATTCATCACCCAAGGCAATTCTTTCAGACTAGAATCAGGACCAACATTGTAAGTTTCTATATTCTAGGCAAATTGCATGCATGTTAGTCACAATTAAACAATATGAAGCTTACATTATTAATGTGTTTGAAGTTTATTTCAATACACAGTGAAGTATATCTTTTTAGTTTGTTCACGTTGAATTTCCATGAGACAAACAATGCTACCTGGTAAAGCAGTGCTTGGGGAATATAACATAATGAACAATGACATATCCTTATGTGCTATATGGATTTATATGCTTGCACAAAGCAGAGAAGTGATTTAGGTATCCAGTGCCTGGAGAGAAAAGATCTGGAAATAAAAAATACACTTATTATATTGTGCAGGACTGGAGTACCTGAGGGAGACTGAAGTGGAAGAGAGGCCATGTTTGTGGAAGTGCTTCCAGAAATATGAAAGCAATCAAAGTATTTTGCTTTCTTTCTTGGCAAATATTCCAGATGTGCCCTACCATATAACATAAGAAGTGTTCCTTTGGCCAGCATACCGTATAATAATGAATTGATGACTAGGGTAGTCGTTACCTTTTCGAACAGCCCCATGTGTAGTCCCAGAATGTTTTATCCAAAGAAGAGTCTTTAATTTTGTACATCAACTTTTGCAATAATTAGTTTTGTAATTTTGTGAATGTGGTTTTAGCTGTATTTTTCATTACAGTGATACATCAGGAAAGATTGTACAGTGTCCATTATTGGCAGGTTTCTGATAATTTTAGTACTACTAAAGCCCCATGTACACGGGACACTTCTGAACGATGGAAACTGACTGCTGGAAAACGTAGGTTAAAAAAGTTTTTTTGTAGCCGCGTTTGCGTTTAGAAGCGTTTTTTTTAAAGATAAGCACAGGAGAACCTCCCAAATGCCCAGAATGCACTGAAAAGTGGGACATTATTAACTATTTCAGACTGTTTCAGAGAAATACAGAGAGTAGTACCATTTGTAAAAAAAAGCTTGTTTAATTCAAATTAAATATCGGTAGATATTTTCTGTCATCCATGAAGCCTGGCCAAAACAGCATTCAAGGATTCCATTTCTGTGCCCTGGCTTATTTCCAGGACATGGCAGATATTTGGCGACTGCTCTTAGCACACTCTTCTTTCCCTGTCCCAGCAGCAGCTAAACTTGGCATGCTGGGATAGGGGATGAAAGGGCACACCGTGCACGCGCTGCTTTTAGACTACTGGGGCTCATTATTTACCCTTTAATCTCTCCAATGGAAGTCAGTCATTAATAAAAACCTGATAGAGGTTCTAATCCTTACACACTATGTTTCAACACAAAAAAAAAAGATTTTGGATATACACATACATCATCTTGTTTTTGATTAGTGTGAATATTGAAGAATAATATGTAAAGATGAATGCTGTGGAAAGTAAGAGTGTTCCCTTGTAATAGGTTTGAAGTGTCAGCGCAGCCCCACGGCAAGGCAGGACCGTTTACTTTTCCCGGGGTCGAACTTTAAAGTGTTACTAAACCAGGCCCCTACATTCACTATATCTGATCTCCCACAGTACACACAACATGGAAATGAAATTATTTTAGTAAATAAAAAAAGCTAAATACCTTTTCTCATCAGCAGTTAGAGCAGTCTTGTGACTTCAGCAGAGCACTGATTAAAGCTTGTAGGAGGAGTTTTCTTTCTGCTCTAGGAGAATGTGAAACCTCTGACCTCTGTCTGGACAGTGCTGATTGGCCCTGTACTGATCACATAACCCTCTCAAGAAAAAAAAAAGCCTCTCTAGCAATACACACCAAACTGAGCATGTGCATGTGACCACGGGTTAAGTCTGTGTCAGATGGTCATTTCAACAAGAAGAGGGGCAGAGAAGAAAGGATCAAACAGCCTTTATACACAATGTAGAGGATTAACCCCTTAGGTTCCACAGTGCATATAACAAGCATCATTTACTGCATATACAGACTGATTTTACTGCTGTGGGTTTAGTAACACTTTAATCATTTAGAATGTGTGTCTGAATGATAACTGGGCTTTAGAGAAAAAACTTTAAGGGCCAGTTTACACTACAAGTATTTCAGTAGCTTTTTTTTGCTTCCAAAATGCACAGAAAATAGGTTATATGGTTGTCAATATCATAGTTCACATCAGTGCTTGCAGTTCCAGTGCATTCCAGTTGCAGAAAAAAAGTAGAACATGCTGCTTTTTTTTCTGCACAGAACTGCACTGGAACGCAGTAAAACGCATCAAAAACACACTGGAATGCACCAAAACACACCAATAACGCACTGGAATGCACATGTCCCTATTTAAATTGAAGAAAAAGAGAGGGGGAAAAATGAACTAGAATGCATAAAAAACTCACTGAAACACGTCAAAAATGCATCAAAAACGCACCGGAACGCACCAAAACGTGTCAAAAACGCGCATGCCAAAACGCAGCTGGAACGCATCTGGACTGCATTTCTATAGTGTGAACTGGCCTTAAGATTTCTTCTGCAAACAACTTCTATTAGTTTGAAAAAGGTTTTGTCCTGTTCTTTTTTTATTTATTGGTATTAGAGATGAGCGAATTATTCAAAAATTCGATTTGGCTGATTCGGCGAATTCGCGGAATAAATTTGATTCGAGTAGAATATATTCGCTGCGAATTTAACTTATAAAAAGGGTGTTTCTAGGCTTCAGAGAGCCTTTATATTAGTGCAGAAACACTGTACCTTTAATTTAAATGCCCTTGGAGTCTGCTGGGGAAGAAATAATACTGTCAGTCAGTATGACATGCAGATGAGTGCCGTCGATCTTAGAATCACCGCACACTTCACTCATTTGGGCAGTCACGGGGCCAAAACCAGAGTGTGGAGCCACAGTGTGGCGGGTGGAGGCAGCAGCAATGGGAGGCCATACAGCACAATATGAAAAAAATGGAACCCACCAGCAGTGTGAGAAGACCTGAAAGTGGCACATGGCAGAGTGTGGCGATGGAGACAGCAGCAATGGGAGGCCGTACAGGGACCCATGACACACTCTGGACCTGGCAGCAGCATGAGGAGGCGGTACAGGGGCCCATGACAGATTACGGGCCTGGCAGCAGCATGAGGGAGTCGGTACGGGGCCCATGGCAGATTACGGGCCTGGCAGCAGCAATGGGAGGCCATACAGCACCCTATGACAAAATGGAACCCACCAGCAGTGTGAGGAGACCTGAAAGTGGCACATGGCAGAGTGTGGCGATGGAGACAGCAGCAATGGAGGCCGTACAGGGACCCATGACACACTCTGGACCTGGCAGCAGCATGAGGAGGCGGTACAATGGGCCCATGACAGATTACGGGCCTGGCAGCAGCATGAGGAGTCGGTACGGGGCCCATGGCAGATTACGGGCCTGGCAGCAGCAATGGGAGGCCCGTAATCTGCCAGCACCCTATGACAAAATGGAACCCACCAGCAGTGTGAGGAGACCTGAAAGTGGCACATGGCAGAGTGTGGCGATGGAGACAGCAGCAATGGGAGGCCGTACAGGGACCCATGACACACTCTGGACCTGGCAGCAGCATGAGGAGGCGGTACAGGGGCCCATGACAGATTACGGGCCTGGCAGCAGCATGAGGAGTCGGTACAGGGCCCATGGCATTACGGGCCCCTGGCAGCAGCAATGGGAGGCCCGTACAGGGACCCATGACACACTCTGGACCTGGCAGCAGCATGAGGAGGCGGTACAGGGGCCCATGACAGATTACGGGCCTGGCAGCAGCATGAGGAGTCGGTACGGGGGCCCATGGCAGATTACGGGCTGGCAGCAGCAATGGGAGGCCCGTAATCTGCCAGCACCCTAGGACAAAATGGAACCCACCAGCAGTGTGAGGAGACCTGAAAGTGGACACATGGCAGAGTGTGGCGATGGAGACAGCAGCCCAATGGGAGGCCGTACAGGGACCCATGACACACTCTGGACCTGGCAGCAGCATGAGGAGGCGGTACAGGGGCCCATGACAGATTACGGGCCTGGCAGCAGCAATGGGAGGCCCGTAATCTGCCAGCACCCTATGACAAAATGGAACCCACCAGCAGTGTGAGGAGACCTGAAAGTGGCACATGGCAGAGTGTGGCGATGGAGACAGCAGCAATGGGAGGCCGTACAGGGACCCATGACACACTCTGGACCTGGCAGCAGCATGAGGAGGCGGTACAGGGGCCCATGACAGATTACGGGCCTGGCAGCAGCAATGGGAGGCCCGTAATCTGCCAGCACCCTATGACAAAATGGAACCCACCAGCAGTGTGAGGAGACCTGAAAGTGGCACATGGCAGAGTGTGGCGATGGAGACAGCAGCAATGGGAGGCCGTACAGGGACCCATGACACAACTCTGGACCTGGCAGCAGCATGAGGAGGCGGTACAGGGGCCCATGACAGATTACGGGCCTGGCAGCAGCAATGGGAGGCCCGTAATCTGCAGCACCCTATGACAAAAATGGAACCCACCAGAAGTGTGAGGAGACCTGAAAGTGGCACATGGCCTGGCAGCAGCATGAGGAGTCGGTACGGGGGCCCATGGCAGATTACGGGCCTGGCAGATGACGACGAGGCTGCCAAGTGCGATCAGCCTCATCATCATCAATTAGGGTCTCCGCGTCACTACTAGCCCCCTCGGCTGCGTGTGGGTCAGGAGACAGACCTGTCTCTAGACCGGGCTACCGAGCCACTCTCCTCGCCAGTACTTCTTCGCCTGGCTGCTGAAGAGGCGGATGTCTCCCCCCGTTCCTGACCGCCCTCTGTTAGCTCTTCCTCACTGTACAGTGGGGCTGAGCCCACAGCATGCGATACTTCGCTTGGTGAGGGAACACCAAAGGACAGGGGCAGGTAGAGGACACATGATTTCAGTGGGCTTGCTCCCGGGCCATGCCAACTAACGGTTGTGTCTGACGTACCCACCGACCGTTGCTGTAGGTGTCAGAGGTGACCTGGGAAGAGGAAGACGACCGAGCCAACCAATCGATGACGGCAGGGTTGTCGGTGGAGACACGACTGCTGGATGACACCGGGGAGCACTGGCCTCTGGCTGCGACTAGTGCTGCCTCGACCCCTTCCTCTGCTGCCACGTCTGCTCGCTCCTGAAACATTGCCTCCTCTGCCACTCCTCTGCTTGTTGTCTGACATACTCTTTAATTCAACGATTCTGTGTCCCTGAGTAACGATTCTGTGTCCCTGAGTAACAATTCTGTGTCCCTGAGTAATGATTCTGTGTCCCTGAGTAACGATTTTGTGTCCCTGAGTAACGATTCTGTGTCCCTCAGTAACAATTCTGTGTCCCTGAGTAACAATTCTGTGTCCCTGAGTAATGATTCTGTGTCCCTCAGTAACGATTCTGTGTCCCTCAGTAACGATTCTGTGTCCCTGAGTAACAATTCTGTGTCTGTCCCTGAGTAACAATTCTGTGTCCCTGAGTAACATTTCTGTGTCACCTCAGTAATGATTCTGTGTCCCTCAGTAACAATTCTGTGTCCCTGAGTAACAATTCTGTGTCCCTGAGTAACGATTCTGTGTCCCTGAGTAATGATTCTGTGTCCCTGAGTAAACAATTCTGTGTCCCTGAGTAACAATTCTGTGTCCCTCAGTAACAATTCTGTGTCCCTGAGTAACAATTCTGTGTCTGTCCCTGAGTAACAATTCTGTGTCCCCTGAGTAACGATTCTGTGTCCCTGAGTAACGATTCTGTGTCCCTTAGTAACGATTCTGTGTCCCTCAGTAACAATTCTGTGTCCCTGAGTAACAATTCTGTGTCCCTGAGTAACGATTCTGTGTCCCTGAGTAACGATTCTGTGTCCCTGTTTAACGATTCTGTGTCCCTCAGTAACAATTCTGTGTCCCTGAGTAACAATTCTGTGTCCCTGAGTAACAATTCTGTGTCCCTGAGTAACGATTCTGTGTCCCTCAGTAACGATTCTGTGGCCCTAAAGTCTCTCTGGCCCTAACTCTGTCCCTAATACAGACAGGTCTGTCTCTCTTGAATGACCGGAGGCTAATGGAGAATTGTAAGATGGCCGCAATTTATAGCTCCACCATTACACAGTGCTGGCTGGCTGGCTGCTGATTGGCTAATGCGATCACATGTCATGAATGAATGCATTATGGGTCAGCGCGCCTTGTCTGCGCGCCTTCCCAGAGATCCCCGCTCCGTCGCCACACATGTCGCCGCCATTTTTGGGAAAATTCGATTCGTGCATTCGAAGTTTGCTAATTTTCGGATTCGGGCGAATCGAATTTTTCCTGATATTCGAAACGAATTCCACTTCGCCATGTTTGATTCGCTCATCTCTAATTGGTATGCCAGAAAGTATTATAAAGCTAAAGTAAACTGTTTTCACTCAGACTGATTTTGTTCAACAAATACCTATTATTTCATATTTTCTGAGACAGTCTATTTCATCCTGGCTTTACTGCTTTTCATTTCAAATCTTAGTTGACTGTGGTGAATTATTGCGAAATCCTTTTGTTTTAAAACACGGGAATATAAATAGATTTGGACATGGACATCTCAACTGTGATATAATGTACAAGATTAATAATGTATACTAAGAATAGCTCTTGCAGAACAACTGCCAGCTAATGCTTTTCAGCTAGTCCCTGCTGGTGCTATCTTTCATCTGGCGTTGCTTTGGCCTGGACGAGGTAAGATCCACAGGTGGTAGACTTAGATAAAATTAAACATTGGTCTCAAATTATTGTTCCCCTACCCTGTTTCACCTCCGTTGTTATACACCAATGATACTTGTTACAATTCCTCACAACAGTGCTGACCCAATGAGCCTGAATTACTTAAATTCAGCTTACTCCATCAACAAGGCAATGTTCAATGATTTTAGCAGAAGACTGTGTTGTGTGGCTTGTGTCTTATTTATTATTATTATTTATTTCAGGTACTTATATAGCGCCATCAATTTACACATATATATTGTACATTCACATCAGTCCCTAACCCTCAAGGGGCATACAATCTAAGGTCCCTAACACACATTCATACATACACATACTAGGGACAATTTTGACAGGAACCAAGTAACCTACCAGCATGTCTTTGGAATGTGGGAGGAAACTGGAGTACCCGGAGGAAACCCACACAGACACAGGGAGAGCATGCAAACTCCAGGCAGGTGGTGCCATGGTTGGGATTTGAACCAACGACCCAAGTACTGCCAGGCAGAAGTGCTAACCACTTAGCCACTGTGCTGCCCATCTCAAAATAAATATTGAAAAAAAGGGGAAAAAACCTATGCTACACCCCAAACAATACAATGTGTGAATAAATGTGTGAAAAAAATATTCTGAAACAATAGTGAAAACAATTAGTGAACTGCTGCTACTCTTTCCCTGAACACCAGAAAATGCAAAATATATATATATATATATATATATAAAATGAGTGCGCTGTACACTGAATAATCATAAACAATAATCAAAAATAAAATAAATGCTGCTACATAAAAAATGTGCATAAATTAATTGAAATGATATGTCTACATTCATATATTAAATAAATGTTTGACACAAAAGAACTGGACTGGTCTCCAAGCCCAGAGGACGCCATTTTTAGAGAAATGCGCATTGGGCGGAGCTTTCTGTGACGTCACCACCTTCTGGCCGTTGGTCTGACACCATAGGAATTTTAAATGTTTACACTGCCTTTATGCTCCTTATCTATGTAAGTGCAATACTTTAATAAATGCTTTGCTGGTTTATTGGGTTCGCACTATGAAGTTTTCTTCTTCTGTTTTAAACCTTTCCTTGGATGATGTGGAGAGCTGTCTGATGTGATGGATTAATTCAAGTGAACCTGCAGTTGTCCTTTTATCTCCTTATTCATCTCCATGATATGGCGAACTAGGGTGTCAGTGTGGAATCTGAACACCATCTGCTCGTTTGATCTCTTGATTGGAAATCAAAGTGTCTGGTAAGAGTCTGATTTTTTTCTTTTGTGTCAAGCATTTGTGGACACCTATGCACTTTCTGTTGGAGGATTTCTTTAGCACACAGCACTGTATTATTGGATTTTGGGACTTTTAATTATTTAATATATGAATGTGGACTTATATCATTTCAATTAATTTATGCACATTTTTTATGTAGCAGCATTTATTTAATTGATTATTGTTTATGATTATTCAGTGTACAGCGCACTCATTATATATATATATATATATATATATATATATATATATTAAATATTATTTTGTAAAGCATTGCACAAACTGTTGGCGCTATATAAATCATGTATAATAATAATATATATATTGAAATAAATATTACTGAGTTGCGTGATGTCCGGGCACATATAAAAGACACATTCATACATCATGAAGTGTATTTTTTAACCACAGTGTAAATACCTGAGTTTGACCTGGTATTAGCCTGTAGAGGTCATTGTAAGGCAGGGTTAGCGTGAGCGTGAGAGTGCCGAAAAGAAGGGCCAATCAGTTCATGTACTGTTGCTCCTTTCGCTTTCCAGCAACAGACCAGGGCAGGTCCAGAATGACCAGGGCTCAGAGGTAGTGGGTTGAATGATGCTGATCATCAGAATGAGGACATCTAGTGGCATAAAAAAGGTTTGCAAGGGAAATCTCTGGATTGAAAGAGATTATTGTTGCAAAAGCTAATTTTGTTATTTTATCTTCAATAAACTATTCATTGCTATATTTCTTTGGCAGACATACTGCTAAATGAGAATAGAGATGGAACCTGTTAAAAGTAAATATGTGTGAGTTTAGCTATAAAAATAATAGCGGTGAACCTGTGCTGCTATGCAGTTCTGGAACATTCTGTTCCTGAGAAATAAATTTCACTGCAGAAACAAAGACACAATGTTTACTTGGTTGTGAAGCATAGTAGCTAAGGGTTTAGCATTCTTTCCTTGCAGTACAAAACATTTTCTGATCTTTACATAGCTTAGAATATTTTAGTAACTTCTAAATATGTTTTCTTTTAAATTATGGTATTTTTATTTTCTTTCGATGATAGGAAAGATGTTTTCAATGATAAATAACTATGAGAAAAAGTCACATTTTTTGCCTCTGCTGCTGCCCACAAGCACTGGTCTGCTAGATCCATAATTAAATCTGAGCTGGTCTTGTGTGTATACCTGTGAGAGGGCAGATGATGATATGCTAATTGCCACACTTAGCTCACAATATGAACATATAGATTTATCAGAGAAATTTCATGGCATGTCTGTAGGTAGAATTTAACATAGGGTTGCCTCCAGATAAGCTCGTCCTCTGTTTGTGCATTGCTATTTATGTACCATAGTTGAGAAACTTAGTTTAGAGGTAGAAACCATCCACATCAGTATTGCCTGGATACAACAGTGTGGCGTATATACATGTATTTGAAAATGTAAGCAACTAAAGTCTCTTT